ACCCACCAGGCAGCGTGTTTTGTAAACACGTGGAGCCAGAATGGTAAGGGGAGTCTGGGGGGGCAGTCAGGGGGTGGGAAGTGGGAGGGAGTGGATGTGGGCGGGGCTTCCCCCCCCCCCACTGTCCTCTTTTTTTGATTGTGGAAATATGGTAACCCTACGGGAACAGGACTGGAGCCGAAGCTTAAGGCCAGAAGGGCTGGTTGTAATAACCTGGTCGACCTCCTGCTTAACAGAGGCCAAAGAACCTCAGGTGGGATTTGTGCATCGTCCAGTCTTGGGTCTCCCCCTCCCCCCAGCTCTACCAATGCCCCTCAATCCTGACCCGCAGCCCCCCCCCTGCTAGTCCAGCTCCAAGTTCCCCAGACAGCCAGTTCTACCAGGACCCCCCTGACCTGTAGCCAACCCCTCCACCATCCCACTTCTGGGCAACTCTCACACTGGGACAGCTGATGTGTCCTTAATTAAAAAGCCCCCTGGAAAACCCACGTCCCAGGAATTTTCCTGGCTAACAGGCGCCCCTGTTCGGGGCTGGGCAAACAGGGAAGCCGGTGGCTTTTGCTCTCCCAGCGCACCTGGTCCCACGTGTCGAGCAGCATGACATCGCTTTCGCTCAGGTCATCCTGGCCGAAGTCGGTCACTTCCGTCACCACGAAGCGTCCCGTCTTGTTGGAGCATTCAAAGAGCCGGGGCGGGTTCTCTGGGACCTCCTGCTGGAGCCTGCAACACAAAGCTCCTTCAGCAACCCTCCCCGGCTGAGCCGGGCAGCGCAACCCGCTCTGTGCCCTGGTACCTTTTGTCGCTGGCGTAAGGGGCTTTGCCTCCCAGCACTTCCCAGAACACTGCTGGCTCCTGCCCTTCAGCCACGGTTTCCTGGGCGCCGTCACAGATGGTTGCAGCCAGCTCCTTCGCCATTTCCCGCTCGTCCCCGCTGGAGCCCTGGCGGGCAAGGAGACAAGCTGGCATTCGCTGGCGGTGGCGCACGGCGACGGGGGAGGGCCGCTCGCGGGCGGGTTCGCTTCCCACTGGCTGCCCCTTACCTTGCCGTACCACAGGTAGTGCTCGGTCTGGGTCCGGAGCAGGAAGACGTCGTTGGAGTTGAGCGACGAGGCGAACGCCGGGACTTCCACGGCTTTGGTGTTGGACTGGTCGGTTCCGTGGATCTGGAAGAGCCTCACGGGCGGTTCCGGTTCGTTGCTGCTTGTCCTGGATGTCCCACCCTAGAGAGAAGTGGGGGGGGGGGAACCGAGCCCCGGTGCCTGAGACCGAGCCCCAACAGGGCCCCAGGAGAGAGAGAGCGGGGCCTAGTGGTTCCAGGTGGGTTACGGCAGGCACGGGTAGGGTCCGTGCTGGGGAAGGAGAGAGCTACCGGGGGAACCTCATGCTGCAGAGGGTTTGGAGGGAGGCCACCACAGCTGGGAATGGGGAAACACTCATTAGTGAAACGATCCACCCCCAGCCCCCGCACAGCAGTTATTGCTCCAAGCCCGTCTGCTTCTACTTCACTCCAGCAACAAGCGGGGTGGGGGGAGGAAGAGTCTAGGCCCTGTAACTGAGGCAGTGTGGAACAGACACCTGGGTTCCATTCCCAGTTCTGCCACTGATCTACTGCGTGACCATGGGCAAGTCCCTCCCCCCCCCCCGCTTCGTGCCTCAGTTTCCCCTCCCAGCCCTTGTCCGTTGTAGATGGTGCTTTTCAGGGTAAGGGCTGCCTCCAGCTCTGTGTTCGTGCAGTTCCTGGCGCAAAGGGGCCTTGATCTTGGCAGCAGCCTCTAATGGAAACAGCAGCTGCCCCGGTGACTGGACAATCCAGCCCAGCGTCTCCTGCCCCCAGCCTCCCCTTCACCCTGCTCCCGCCGGCGCGGCCGTACCTCGAAGATGACCAGCTTCCCTTTGAAGATGGCCAGGAAGTGGCGCGGCTCCTTGCCCATGCTCACGCGCACCTGCACCGGCTCCCCGGCGAACTGCCGGTCCACTTCCACCGCCTGGTACGCGGAGGCGGCCAGCTCGTCCGGCGTGGCGTGCCGACCCTGGGTACGCACAGAGGAGCCAGCTCAGACCGGCGGCCCGGAGGAGTCTCCGCTCCCGTGGGCGAGGCAAGGCCCCCGGGCGGCGCACCGTGAAGCGGAGACGGGGCGCCGGGTTCCGCCTACCTGCCAGATGTACAGGATGTAGCGGGGCTGGTGGTTCACGCCGTAGGTGTAAAGCACCAGGTAACAGTCTCCGCCGTAGAAGAAGCCGTGCCACTGGGATTCCACCGGCGCCAGCTCCAGATTCTCGATCCTCCAGACCTAGAGCGAACGGAAGTGATGTTAGCGCGGGAATGGTAGCGCTGGGCTCTTCAGGCGGCCGGTCGGTCCACGCTGACCCCGGGACGAGGGCGGTCTTTGTAAGGGGGCCGTTAAAAGCAGGTTCCCCTCCCCCAGACTCAAACTGTTGCCCCATAGCATAGGGAGCTTTGCCTTATGGGGAGGCCGCACCCCACCCATTCCCTGCACCAAGCTTGGAAGGGGAAGGGGGCCGTGGGAAAATCGGCCAGACGCGGGATCCTCTTTGGGGCAGGAGCTTGCGCAAAGGGGGAGCATGCAGGGGCGTGGGCCCTCCCCAATCAGTGGGGGCACAGAACACCTCCAGCCCAGCCAGGGCGGGAGATGACAGCTCCTTTGGCCCTGGGGCTGCAGCAGGGAGAACCAGATCCTCCGGCACTGGGGAGAGTGAGCTCCACCAGCCCAGGGTCCACTGCCCCAAGGCCGTGGGGGAGAGCCAGCTCCTCCGGCCACGGGGAGGGCGGGGCCCCAGAAAGTGCCCCTCCGAAAGCAGCCAGATTTTTATTCCTGTGTACGCCCCTGCTTCGGGTCATTCAGAAGATCTTCGATCAGCAGCAGGGGCCCGGCCGGGGCTGGCCCGCTCAGTCCAGAGACGCCGCGAGCCACTCGGGCGTCTTCCGTGTGCAGCCAGGCCCGACGACTAAGGATTCCCAAGCCACTCGCAGGCGCGGGACTCCCCTGGGGCTTGCCAGCTTGGGCACTGCGACGGGCGCGAGGGCCCCAGGCTGCACCCCAGCGAGCGGAGGGGCCCGGGTCCCCCTGGTCCCAGCAGCCACGGGGGCTAAAGAGACACCTGCCCTGCCAGGGAAAGGGCAGAGGGGTCACTCAACAGAGCATTCGGCTTCCGTGCGGCTCGCGGTTCCTACCTCCACCTTCCCTTCCCCGTTATCCACCATCCGCTCCTGGGCGGCCAGCTCGGGCCGGGCGTGCAGCAGCGTGGCATCGAACTTCTCCTGGCTGACTTTGGCTACAAAAAAAAGAGCATCAGGGTTTGGGCAGCAGCCTAGCAGGAGGGAGGGAGCAGCAGATGCGGGCGTCAGGGCCGCAGCTGTCAGTGTGGACCCTATAGCCCACAGCGTCTACCCCTATACGCTGTATCCCGGCACCCTGGGGAAGACCTCGGCATGGGGGTAGGGGACTAGTTTAGGAAACGACCAGAGCAGCCCCGTGTCTCCCTGCAGGCTGGGGGGAAGGCAGCCGTGCATGGCGCGAGCTCCAGGAGAGAGGAGGCTCTTCCTTACCCACTTTGCCAGCGCTGTAGGCTTTGCCCAGCCCCACCGTCTGGTCCCGGACGGCCCATGTCTGGAATAGCTGCTTGAACATGGCGGATTCGGCTCCGTCGTTCACCGTCTCCACGTTGGTGCCGTAGGAGTAGCCTTTCATGTTGATGAACTCCTGCCGGGCCGGGGGCGGAAAGCGGCAAGGAGCCCGGTCAGGGGGGCGACCCGGATGCCCGGCCAGGGGCCCCCACCCTCTGGCGGCAGGGAGTCAGGAATCCTGCTTTCACTCCAGGCCCCCAGCTCATCCCCGGTCTGTATCGGCTCCTCCCCCTCCCCGCATCACGGTTAGCGAGACCCCTCCCCCAACCTCGGTCCTACCAGAGCTTTGGCCATGGCTGTTTGCTTCTCTGCCTTGGTAGCCCCCTTCCCCTTCCAGACGTAGATCTTGGTCCCGGCGTGATCCAGGATGTAGCAGTCCTGGGGAGGAAAAGGTTACACCACTTCCTGGGGCTGCTGATTTGGCCCCATGCTAGGTTCCCCTGCCTTGCCCTATAAAGCGTGAAGGGGGGGTTGGGGTTTAAAATGGGGCGCAAGGGATCCAATCAGGCACCATGCGCCAGTTCGGGGGGCTTCCCGGACCACACCCCAGCGCTCAGTCCAGCCCCGGATTGAAGGGGACGTAGGAGTTGCCAGAATGGATCAGCCTCGACGTCCGTTCAGGCCCGTCTCCTGTCTCTGACAGCGGCCAGCGCCAGACGCGGCAAAGGAAGGCGCAAGAAGCCAGCAGATGCGGGATGATCTGGTCCCGCTATCCCCCGCCCCAGTCTCAGAGTTAGCCCCATCCTGCAAAGAGGACTCTAGATGGCTGGGGACGCAGGGCAGAGCCGGGCAGGCAGAGGTGGGGCTCTGGGTGAAGTGGAGTGACAGGAGCAGAGCCCCAGGGTGCAGAGGTGGGTTTTAAACGGCACATGGCGAAAGTCCCGACAATGCCACAGGAGCCCCCATCTTTCACTCACGTCATGGTTCAACAGCTCCTGCACCAGCGGCCTCGTGGCCTCTTCCAGCACCTGCATTTTCCCTCCGGAGTCCGAGACACTAGAGAAAGGAGATGGGTGGATTTATTCCCATGGCAGCCGGGGATGTGGGGACTTCCGGGCCCAGGAGGGGAGCAGACGCCAGGGCAATCCGATGGGACAGTTTCCACCCGCTCCCCTTTCTACTGGTCTCTCGGGCACGGGGCAGTCAGGGCCCATCCCAACGATGCTGCAGCAAATCCAGGAGCCACCAGGAGCCCTGCTTGGTTTGTGAATTCGCCAGCCGTGCTGGGAGCGGTGGGGGGCGTCCCTGGAGGAAGATCCCCGAGGAACAAAACCCAGCCAGCTCCGTTGCGCTTGGATCAATCGAAGCCTGCGTGGGAGCTGCGGATTAGCAAGGGATGGGGAGTGAGGCCAGGCAAACGCCCTGGAGCTAGCGAGATGGGGAAGCCTCTGTCTGATGTGCCCCCCCGCTGCTTTGCACTGCACCCTCCTCCCCGCTTACCGATAGAGCAGGACGGTGGCCTTCTGCTGCTGGTCCACCACCTCGTCCGGGATGCTGGGTTTGATCTTCCGCGGCCTGTCCCCGAGCACGCTCTGCAACGCTGTTGTCAGCTCCGGGCTGGCTCCCTCCTGGTCGCCATCCACCACCCTGATCTCCGCCCGCCCCCCGCGCTCCCGGTCGCGGATGTCTTTGGCCAGGAGCATGGCCTAAATGAGACCCCCCAAAGAGACCAATCATCGGCTCCCCGCAGCGCACTGGGCAAAGGCACCAGATCGCCCCCGCCCGAGAGCCTATGCTGTCTGGCCGGACACGGAGGGGACAGGTGAAGGGCAGATCACAGACTGAGTAGAAACACAGACTGGCCTCGGCACCCCGCACGCTCACCTGGTCTGTGGAGAGAGGAACTAGCGCTCGCCAAATGCCCTTCCAGGGTGTCGTGCAGAGCGCACCCACTTCTAGGGCGCTGGTTCCGAGCCAGCCCGTAGGGCCAGGGAGCGGGATACAAGCCTTTCCCCTCTAGGGGGCTGGTTCTGATCCAGCCCAGTAGGGCCAGGGAGCGGGATACAGGGCCTTTCCCCTCTAGGGGTCTGGTTCCGAGCCAGCCCATAGGGCCAGGGAGCGGGATACGGGGCCTTTCCCCTCTAGGGGTCTGGTTCCGAGCCAGCCCATAGGGCCAGGGAGCGGAATACGGGGCCTTTCCCCCTAGGGCGCTGGTTCTGAGCCAGCCCAGTAGGGCCAGGGAGCGGGATACGGGGCCTTTCCCCTCTAGGGCGCTGGTTCCGAGCCAGCCCAGTAGGGCCAGGGAGCGGGATACAGGCCTTTCCCCTCTAGGGCGCTGGTTCTGATCCAGCCCCATAGGGCCAGGGAGCGGGATACAGGCCTTTCCCCTCTAGGGCGCTGGTTCCGATCCAGCCCAGTAGGGTCAGGGAGTGGGATACGGGGCCTTTCCCCTCTAGGGCGCTGGTTCCGATCCAGCCCAGTAGGGTCAGGGAGCGGGATACGGGGCCTTTCCCCTCTAGGGCGCTGGTTCCGATCCAGCCCAGTAGGGTCAGGGAGCAGGATACGGGGCCTTTTCCCTCTAAGGGTCTGGTTCCGATCCAGCCCCGTAGGGTCAGGGAGCAGGATACAGGCCTTTCCCCTCTAGGGCGCTGGTTCCGATCCAGCCCGTAGGGCCAGGGAGCGGGATACGGGGCCTTTCCCCTCTAGGGCGCTGGTTCCGATCCAGCCCGTAGGGCCAGGGAGCAGGATACAGGCCTTTCCCCTCTAGGGGTCTGGTTCTGAGCCAGCCCCGTAGGGCCAGGGAGCGGGATACAGGGCCTTTCCCCTCTAGGGCGCTGGTTCCGAGCCAGCCCAGTAGGGCCAGGGAGCGGGATACAGGCCTTTCCCCTCTAGGGGTCTGGTTCCGATCTAGCCCAGTAGGGCCAGGGAGCGGGATACAGGCCTTTCCCCCTAGGACGCTAGTTCCAATCCAGATCCAGAGGGAGGAGAATGCTCCAAACTTCCCTTCGGAAGGAGTAATCAGAATCCCGGGCAGGGTGGGGCAGGTCCAGCGAGGTTCCTACCTTCAGCCGCTCCTTGGTGTTGCTCTCGGGGCCATTCCACTGAATAATGACCTTCCCCAGGTCCAGCAGGAACACGTCCCCCAGGTTAAAACTGTCCCAGCTCATCTCCACCTGTGGCCGGGGGCAGGGGAACGGAGAGGAGGCCGTGAGGAGGTTGGCACCAGGGGAAGCGGGAGGACCGAGCGGCAGTGGCCCTGGTGGCACTGAAGTGGGAAGGGCACTGGTAGGGCGGGCAGTGGGACAGCCGCCATGCTGGGGGAATCGGGAGGCAGGGACTGCGCCAGCACTAGGGTGGGAAGGCAGCGCAGGCATGGGGCGGGTGGAGCGTTGGCTCTACCAGGAAGGCAGTGGCGACGTTGGCCCCAGGGAATCAGAGGCCAGGGGACGCAGGGGAGAAGGGAGGCTGCCTTGCGATAGGACAGGCGGTGGCCCAGGCCAGGGTCGGGAGGTGGAGGCCGCGCTGGCCGGCACAGGTGCCGGAGCCCAGGCTCACCTCGGTGGCCGTGACGTTCCGTCTCCCCTTGACGTGCAGCAGGCGCCGGACGTTGTAGACGTTGGTCTCCACGTGTGTCATCCCTGAAGCCACGCCGCCCTTCTTGTAGCTGGGGGAGAGGGGCAGGGGAAGGGTGAGCGCCCACAGCAGGGAAGGGGGGCCCGGGCCAACCCGGCAGGGAGGAAGGGCCGTCACGGGGCAGGAAGGGGAGACACACACACGGGGTGCCAGGACCGTCCTCACCCCAGCAAACACGGCCCCGTCACCCCCCAGCCCCAGAAGGTGCTACAGACACAGCTCCTTGCAATACTTGCAGGCTGACGTCCCCGCGTGGGGGCTGGGTGGGTGGGGACAGTCTGTAGGCCACACCCCCCCCAGACGTCCCCGCGTGGGGGCTGGGTGGGTGGGGACAGTCTGTAGGCCACACCCTCCCCCAGACGTCCCCGCGTGGGGGCTGGGTGGGTGGGGACAGTCTGTAGGCCACACACCCCCCAGACGTCCCCGCGTGGGGGCTGGGTGGGTGGGGTGGTCTGTAGGCCACACGCCCAGGACGTCTGGGTGGGGTGGGCAGCCGGAGTGAGATCCTGTCCCTCCATGAGGCTCCAAGCGGGAGGATCGGTGGGTCAGGCCCACCAGGACCAGGGCCCCTCGGCCTCCTACTCACATGATGCCCTGCTTGAAGTAGCCTTTGAAGAGGTCCGACTCGTGGCCCTGCACCTCCCGGTGCTGCACGGGGCCCCCGCCCAGGTAGTCGTCCAGCTGGGTGGTGTAGATGGCAGCGCAGCCCTGCTCGTCCCGCGAGGAGCTCTTCCCGACCCAGTAATGGATGTCGTAGGCCAGGACGCTGCCCGAGCGCCGGGTCTGCAGCAGGGACAGAGCCCGAGGAGTGACCCTGCGTCTTCCCCGCCGATCAGACCAGCATTGGGACTGCCGGGGGCCAGGTGCTCCCGGATCCCAGCTGGCAGATGTCCCCTCCTCCACTGCATGGGGGAGGGAGGGAGGGAATTTCTTCCTGACACCCTGCCCTGCTACAACTGGGGATCAGTTTGTCAGGGCCCACCCGGAAGCCGAAACAGACAAGCTCTCCTTGCTCTATCCTCACTCACGCGCTAATCCTAACCAGAACGATTGCCTCCAAATCATGTGGCAGGGAGTCCCACAGGCTAACAGGACGTCGCACAGACCATTTCCTTTTGTCAAGCTTAAAACTACTGCTGTTGCTTTCGCCTTTCATCGGCGCTACTCTCCCCCCCGCCCTCCCCCCCCCACACCTTCTCTGCAGCTCTTCCAAGGCAGAGGGGAGGGGGGCGGAAGGAGGAAATGGAAGAGATCAGCCTTGCAAAGCAGCCTCCCCGAGTTGCTTGTCTGTCCCACACCCGTCGGGGTTAAAGCAGAGCGAGGGGCCCTGGAGCGAGTCCCAGCAGGTCGGCGGCCTGGGGGACGGGACGGGGGTTAATGACCCTCCCCCCCAGCAGGGGTGGCAGCAGCCCTGGGGGCACTCACCGAGAGGAGGACGTAGCAGTCGCCCTCGTAGAAACTGCCGTGGGATTTCGGAGGCACCTGCACCAGGTCCATTTTCTGGGGGGAGGCAGAAGTGCATTGAGACCAGAGCAGCCCCTCTTGTCCTGGCGTCAGCCATGGGGCACACAACAGCCCCCCTCCCAGAGTGTCCCTCACCTCCTCCCCCCACCCGCACCAGCAGCTCAGCCGAACTGGTGCGTTGGGTGTGCACCCAAGGGGAAAAGCACCAGCCAGACTCTCCCCGGCGGCCACCCAGAGCCCATGGGCCGCTCAGCTCCCCCAGACAGGGCAGGGCCGGCAAAAGGAAGAGCCAGGAGGGAGGAGCCGGCTGGGCCATCAGGGATCTGGACAGAAGCCTACAGAGTTGGGGGTGAGCATTGGCCTGGTGGTCGGCAACAATGCAGCCACCTCTGGGGGGTGGAATGGCAGCTGTTTATGGAAGTCCTGCACGTCCACCACTGGAATGCAGCCACCTCTGGGGAGGGACAACACAACTGTTTATAGGAGTACCCCACATCCACCACTGGAATGCAGCCACCTCTGGGGAGGGGCGTGGCAGCTGTTTATGGGAGTACCCCACATGGATCACCAGGGGCACGGGGCAGCTGTGCCAGCAATGCTACACCATCGTTTGGGATAGGAAGTGAAGACGCCCACCTGGACACTGGAGCCTTTAGGGACGCAGAGCATAAAGGGCTGGAATTGGAATTAGGCCAGGGCACCGCACCCCAGCCCAGCCCCCACAAAAGGGCCGTGGGAAAAGACAAGTGGCCCACTGGAAGCACTTGCTAGCCCACTGCCCATACCCCTTTCTTCTGCACCCTGGAGGTCTCCCAGCCAAGCCCTCGTTACCAGGCCAGACCCAGCTTAGCTTGGGAGCTCCAAGGGGATCCCAGCCCCACTTACCTCGACCCTCCAGACGATGACGCCGGGCATGTTGTTAACCGCCTTGAAAGCGCTGCTCAGAGCCATCGCGCCCTGCGCCGGGGACTCGCCGGGGAGCTGCTGGGCAAGACGGGACAGTCAGCCCAGAGCCAAGGCCAGCCCACCCCCGACACTGCAGCCGCACACGTCCCAGCTGAGCCAGCCAGGGGTGTAAAAAGCTTCTGTAAAAGCCTTGCCCGGAAGCTGCGTGCTTTGGGGGGGGAATTAAAGGGGTGAACCGAGGCAATGTGGGGCAGGGGATCCCCCAAATCGCACGAGATGGGACCCAAGCAGCTCAGCAGGGTGCACCATCCGTATGAGACCACCCCACCCCCAAGGGCCAGCCCGGATCCTGGATGCAGGGGCTGCCTGGGACCCAGGAGAGGTGGATGTTCCTCGGGGGTGATGCGTGCAGCGTGAATCAGCAGCCAACGCCCAGGAGAAGCTCCCCCCACACACGTGTCTCGCAGCACTGGGGATCTGCCCCACCCCACATCTCAGGGGCTCACCTCTGCAGCTGTCCCCCTCCCCCGAGTGATGCTAAAGGCTGGTGTCTGGTATTTGGGGCTTTCCCTTGGAGCCAGAGCTCACCAGCTCCTCAGGATCATTCCCCCGCCTCTCCCTGAGTCACGCCAGCCAGGGTTTGGGAGACTCCATGGCCCCTTTAAGGAGGAATTCTCCTTCCCAGGCCTGGCCTGCCCCCCCCCCCCCCAACGCAGATGGAAGCTGTTAGGGCATGTGGGCCCCACCCAGCTGGTTCTTGTGCCACCCCGACCGGAGTCAGGCCGAGCTGCGCATTCACACTGCACAGCAGCCTCTCCCGCCCTCCCTGCACCGGCGGGGATGGAGCCCAGCAGAGAGCAGGTTTTCTAAGCTCTGGACCCATTCTCCATGCCCTAGTCCCTGGCTGGGCTGGGCGCCTCTGGCTTCGCCGGGGTCAGTGGTTTCGCCGACGCAGCTAGGGCTCAGACCCAAGGGCACCCTGCGGATACTTACGAACACCGCAGGGATCTCTCCTGCCCACTGGGTGCTCCCTGCCTGGGGTGGGTCCAGCTACCCAGCACGCTGGCCCGGGCACAGACGGGGCGTGGGCCCTGCTCTAGCCACGCTGCCCGTTGCACTGCAGGGAGGGACACGCCCTGACTGCAGGCTCTGGAGGAGAATGGGTTCGAGGGGCCGGGCTCACGGCAGCCCAAACCGTAACCGCTCCCCCCCCCCCGTATGTCCCCCCCAGTTTTCAGTCATTGAAGCCAGATGGTGTAACCTGACCCAGGGAGCCGGCCCAGCCGCAGCGCTAGGAGAGCCTCAGCTCGGTGAGACACCATCAGCTGGGTTTGATTAGCCAGGAATGTGCTGGTTTCGGGGCTGGGCGAGGCGGTGTTGGCAGAGGCCGTTCACACTGGTTCGTTCCTCTCCGACATGGCCAGCCCTTTCCGACCATTGCCCGATCGCAGGGCAGGCGTCTGCTCGTGCTGAGCCCCTGGGAGGAAAACCCCCAGGGCCAGACTTCCCCTCCCCATGTGGCACCAGCTAACCCAGTACTGGGAAACCTGGCATGGCGTTCCCTGATCCAACCCTTGGTTGGCACCAGTTCCTCCTGCCTAGGGCGCAAGCGATGGACGCTCTCGGATCCTGCCTCAGCTGGGATCTCTTCCCCCACCCCGTTTAGATCTACCTTCATTCAATACTTTTCACTCCTCTTTCCCTGCCCGAGTCGCCGCCGAGGGCCCTTGCCAGTTCTCTCATTAAACAGCCACATGGTGGCATTATGCACCAGGAGCCCAACAGGAATGCGGCGGGGGGCTTCAAGTTACTTCTCTGAGCCCCAGCTATAACCCTCTGCCCTGAGCCCCGCAGATCTGGGGCCAGCTCAGCCAGCCCCTCTCCCTCACCCAAGGCAGGAGTGGTCCCTAAGGCCGCTGATCTAGGTCTTCGGCCACCCCAAAGTCAGGCCGGGACTCACCTGAATTCGCTGCTGTCCTCTGCGGGCGGCTGTTGAGGAGACCCCGGGGCAGCTGCTGGCACGAGCCCCAGTCACCCGGCGCGCCCGGACCCAGGCGTTATATTTGCCTGAGTTTGCATCTCAGCCGCCTTTGGGCGACCCTGGCCAATGAGCACTGGGCGGGGCGCACGCGCCACATAGGCAAAGCAGAGGGAAAGCAGTTATTTCTTCCTGGTCAAAGCACTGAAGGGGGGGTGGGAGGCGGGGGGGGGCGCAGGGACTCGAAGGCCAGCACCGGCTGGCTCGCCTCCGTCCGCACCCTCTTCCCATCGATTTTTCTTAAGTGCTCGGGCTGATTAATAATTCAAAGGGGAGGGGGGGAAATTAACCACACGCGGGCGACATGCACGGAGCCGAGGCAGGAGATGGGGCGGGGGGAGGAGCTGAGCCCTGAAGGGGGCAGCTCTTACCCTGCAGTGAGGGGGCACCAGAGATGGCGGGGTGGGGGGGAGGGAAATAGCAGCAGCAAGATAAGCAACTAATAAAGGGGACAGGCCCAGGAAAGGGGGCCCCAGGGTGTCTCCATCCTCCCCTTGTTGGAGGGCTTGGACACGCCCCACAGCCCCTCCTGCCCCCCTGGAGCGTAGGGCCCACCCCAGCGCCAAACATCTGGGCTCTGGCTGGTGACAGTCAACCATCTCCTGAGCAGACCAGGCCTGCGGCGGTAGGTTATTGAGTGTCCTGGCCCGTGCGTGGCCATCCCCAGAGCCGGAGCAGCTCCTGCTACCTCAATACCAGGAGGTTAACGGCATTGGCCCCAAGCCCAGAGCTGGCCCCTTGCTGCAAGGGAGGCGGGGGAGAGGCACATGGCCATGAACCACGAGCCCTTCGGGAAATTAGCATCACGCGGGTCACGCTGCGGATCCTATTAACCTAGCGGCTGCCGGGGCGGGGACGACTCTGGGAAAGCAGAAGCCGCTGACCCAGCAAAGGGACAGAGCAGCACCGCCTGCCCGCTGCCTTGAGGGCGCAGATCCAGCATCATCCTCTCCCCTCCCCCTCCCGGCTTCGGCAGCCATGATCCCACGGAGCGGGGAGGGACGCTCTGCCCAAGGCCTAGACTGGGGCACCCCCAGCCTGCTGGGAGTCAGCCCAGCCACAGGGATCCAGCAGGGACTTCTAGGCCTTTCCCATCTCCCACCCCCCCAGGGGGCCTCCTTAGCAAACCCCATCCAGGCCCAGAGCCGTGGCCCACCGCCAGCCCGCCGCTGCACCCTTTGCATCCTAGGCCCCTGCTCTCTAGACCCGTAGCTTGCTCCCCACCAACACGCCACTTTCCAGACTTCTGCCGGCATTCTGGTCAGCCGGGGTAGCATTGCCTAGAGGGTAGACCTCCTCCCAGGGACTCAGGAGCCCTTGGTTCTAATCCTGGCTCCGCTACTGACCTTTGTCCCCGTTCTGTGCCTCAGTTTCCCCTCATCTGCCTTGTATTTAGATGGCAGGGCCTGAATCCTTGAAGTCTATGGAAGCTAGGAGCCTAAATACTTTTGAGGATCAGGGCCTAAGCTCTTCTTGGTGGGGTCGGTCTGTCTGTCTATGCAGCACCCAGCTCACTGGGCCTTCGGTCTGGGTTTGAGCCTGTCGGGGGCACTGTCAGACAATTAGTACAAAAAAGCCAGGCCCTTATCAACCGAGCAGAGCCAATAACCAGACCCAATTCACTTTCCTTTCCTGGCTTTAATCGTAGTTAATACAAAGATTCCAAAAATAGAAAGACCGAGACAGCGGTGCCGGCTTCAAGTTTTTTCTTTTGAATAAGACAAAAATGTAACAAACAGAAGGACGTGAGCGTGTCACCAAAGCAACTGAAGTCTTTATGCCCTGGAAGGCGGGGGGGACACCCCAGGGCCTCATGCTGAGTGCACCGACCCCCACCGTGGGAGATGGGGGCACCCCCCAATTGCAATGGGAGGGGGGGCCTGAGCAGAGCTGTGGGGTTTAGGGGAACACGGCCCCACGTGAAAGGCAAATCAGTGAGCTCAGGTGAGCATGTGCATGCTGAAGGAGGCCTGAGGAAGCCCAGCTCCAAGGCCCCGGCCAGGCTGCATTTGGGGCTCACCTGCTGCCAGTTGGGCTGTCGGAGGCATGAGACCTGCCCAAGCACCTGCAGCTAGACTCCCCCGTCCTCAGGACTCCTGGCTGCAGTACAGGGGGTGGGGATTTCCCACGGCCATGTGCATTTCGGGGTAACTCACCAGAGGCCGTTGAATCACCAGACGAGGGATAGGAGTGGGGCTGGACCAGATGCTGGGGCAGGTCCCCCAGGTATGTGCAGGGGTGGGGGGGAGAACAGGTCAGATGTGGTAATCACTGCTGGAAAATTTCTACAATACAGGTGTGGAGTGGTTCCCCCACCTGGGGGGAGGGGAAACAAACAAGGGACCAATTTCACATCCTAGCACGGGCATTTCAAGCCACATCAGAGGTTGGGGAGGAAGGGTCCTGAGAAGCTCAATGTAGAGTTGTGTTCCCGAGGAGGGAGGGAATTCGAGGGGGGAGAGGAAACCTGTATTTATTAGAAGTTGGGGTGCCCCCCCCACCATCACCCCATCGGGCCTGGTGTTCCACTGTTCCCTGCTGGGCTCCCCTCTACAATGTGCAGAGCTGGAGTCCCCGCTCCCGGCACACATCGGCCTGTTACTAAGATCTCCCCTATAAGGACTCGGACCCTGAGGGGCAGGGGAGACCTGCAGGGGGAGGGGGTTCCCGGTTCCTCCGACGCCAAGCCTAGGCTGTTGGCCCTTCTCCTTCTGAGTCACTCCGACAGGTCCCGGCCCTTCCTAGCTGGGCCTGAGAACAGCACCCCCTGAGGGCAGGAAGGGGGTCGGCCTGCCCCAGGGTCCAGCCAGGCACGGGTCTCACAGCTTTGGTCCCATGGTGCCCTCCCCGGGCCTGGGGCTTGGCCGTGACCCACAAAGTTCACAGTGGGGGCCAGCCCGGGCGGGCGATGGGGGAAGGTAAAGCTGAGTGGCGCAGACACGGCTGCCTCTCCATCTTGCTCACAGAAGTGAAGCAGGTCAGACACGGGGGCGAGGCCCAGACGGGGGTGCCCCTTGGCACTGGCCTGCGGCCTAACGGCACTTGATGGTGTAACAGCCCAGCAGAGTCTGTCCTGCTGCCGGAGGGATGTGCGCCAGGCCCCAACGCCACGCGGGCAGAGCGACAGCCACGGCCCAGCCCTCCCAAGAGCCCCCGAGGGGAGGGGATGCTGCCTGCAACCCGGTCGACATTTGGCTTGGACGAAGAGCTGGTTCTCTTTGGAAATGCCAAAGCGGAAGGTGCAGCAGGGAGGGGAAGGCACCGAGATGGAGAGGGGCGGTTGCCAATGCTGGAGTGGCAGAGGTGCCCGTAGCAGCCACCGCTCATCGGGGCGGCCACGGATATGACATGCCACAAACGCCATCCTGGCAGATTCCTCCGGGCCTTGCGGGGTTGTGTTGTGGCACCGACGAGGAATGCTGGGAGATCAGAGAGACGGAGGTCAGAGGAAGGGCCCCGTCTCGCCAGGCTGGTGTGGGGAAGTCAAGCTGTGCTGAGAGAGCGGGGTCAGCACAACGCAGAGCTGGGGGGATTTGGGGGGGGGGGGGGGGGGCTGGTGCCAAAGTCTCCTATCACCAAGGGGCTCAGCTCCAGTGAGCATTTCCTGAGACCACCTGGAGGAGCTGTTGAAGCTGAAGATGTCACCACACTGGGACTTCAGTGGGGGGCTTCTCGCACTGAATATGTGGCTCCCGACCCCTTCAGCACCCCACGGAGGGGATGTTCCAGGCTTCCCCCCAGCAGCCTGCTGGTGGTGGAGGAAGCATCTTGTTTTCATGGGCCCCATGTCCCAGATGGAGGGCAGCAGTTAAGGCAGGGCGGTGGGCGTGGTCCCCTAGATAGAGCGCGCTGCTTTGGACTGTAGGAGCGTGAGTCCAACGTGACCGTCTCCCTGCAGCCCCAAGGTGCCCCCGCCGGCCCCTGCTTTGGGCTGAACCGGCTAGCGAGGTGGAGCGTGGCTTTGGTTTAAAGTTACCCGTTACGGCAGCCTCTGGCTGGGCCGCTCTCAGCATCTCCCCCTCCTTTGGAGCCGAGCGGCAATTGGTATGAGGCAAGGATCTCGGCTCCACTGGGCAACGGCAGCTGTTGGGAGTCACGGGGCCCAGCTGGGGCTGCTCCAGGAACATCCTTCAGAGCGACGCTGGGATCCAGGCCAGGAAGGAGGATCTGGTTGGGCTGGAGACCCAGCTCCTGGAAGGAGCAGGCTAAGGGACAAGGGAGGATGGAGAGGCTCCCTCAGGATACGAGTCCCTGGGCCTGGGCCTTGCCGGGGGGACGACGACTGGGGAGTGGGTTGCTGACCCCAGACAGGCCTGGCTCCAGCTCCAGAGGCCTCAGTAGGTGCCTCCTGGGGGAGAGGGTTACAGGGAATGGGATCAGTGGCTCCCCGTGGGAGGATGAGACTGGGAGGGGGGGATGGCAAAGGCAGGGCTCTGGCCCAGCCCCAGGCACCGACAGCGGGATTCGGAGAAAGCCACAGCAAAGGGCCGCAGCAGCTGCCCCGCCATGCGGGACGTCTCCAGGGGCCGGGGACGCCTCCAGGGGCCGGGGACAGCTGGCGTTTGCCCTTTGGAGAGCTGGAGGGTCGTCCTGCCGGGAGGCTGGCCGTCTGTTCAGGCAGTTGCTCTCAGAGCAGCACGTGGGGGGAGAAGGCAGGCATTGGGATGCACCCCCCTCCCCACCCCCCATGGCAGGAGTCGCCCAGCCAGGCCCCCCACGTGGAATCCGCAGGCGCTGTGTGTCAGGGAGGCGAGCGGGGCGGGAAGCAGGGCCCCGTTTGCGAGTCGGAGCGCGGGGAGCCCTGCACCCCGCAGTGCAGAGACCCCAGGGCTACCAGGAGACGGGCTCAGACCTGTGACCGGGGCTACAGAGATTTCCCCGCTTTGCAATCCAACATCCCGTCCTGCGCCCCGGTCCGAGAGGCGAGGGCTCTGGCACTGCCACTGGGGCCCGGGAGCCGACTCCTTGCCCGACCACCTCCTCCCGGCTGCTAGCGAAGGCACTGAGTGAAAGTCCCCTGCAGAAATGGGCCGCCAGGGCACTGGAGGCTCTACGGCGCCCGCAGCTGGCCGAGGCTGGTATAAACGTCCTCAGCTTCGCTCAGCTCTTCGAAGATGGGGATGAGGTTGAGCAGCTCTGTGTCCGCCATGTCATCAAACCAGGACTGGACGGGGACCTGCAGGGGGGCAAGAACAGGAGGGGAGGGTCAGCAGGAGCCCCACAGAGAAGTCAAGGCAGGCTGGGCCCAGATCCTCGACGGGGCACGGCTTGTCTCCGCTCCACTTAGCCACCCCCAGGAGCTCAGCCGTGGCCCGGGGCACTCACCGCGTTCTCCGGGTGGAAGATGTAGGAAGCCGGCGAGTTGTCCAGGATGAGTGTCTTGTGCAGGTCCCGGCCCAGGCGGCTCAGGTCCTTGACGTAGCAGCCCTGGTGGAAGACGCAGGACTCCCGGAAGAGCCGCGCCCGGAACACCCCGCACTTGTCCAGAAGGTCCGTCACCGGGTCGGCGTACTGGCAAGAGCAAGAGAGCGGCGTGTTGCTTAGAGCGGGCTCCGCCGGCACGTGACCGGAGCGGCTCGGTTCCCCGCCGTCCCCCGCAGCCCAGCGCCAGGGCTAGCAGGAGCGGCTCGGCTTGCTCAGAAGATATCCCCCCTCCCGCCTTGACTAGGCCACGGCCAGGCCAGCAGCACAGAGAACCTCTCCCAAACACGTCCCCTCTGCCCGGAGCAGGCTGGCAGCGTGCGGAGCACCCCACTCCCCCAGGTTTCCCTCACCTTGGCCAGGCTGGCAGTGAAGAGGACACACTCAAACAGCTCGCCCATCCGCCTCAGGAATTCGTCCACAAAAGGTCTCTTGAGCACATAGACCTAAGGAGGGGAGGGGCCGTCAGCAGGGGGCAGGAGAGACTCTGGGGTGAGGGGAACACAGCCCCCGGGGGGACGATGCTCACGTTCCCTGCTTCTGCTGGCAAGTGTGGGGGAGGCAGCATTGGCCTGGGGCTTATTCTCAAGCAGATGGAGCCTGGTGCCTAGCGCCGCCCGCCCAAGCGGCCCCTTGTGAGCCAGCTGGAGGGGCACGGAGGGGCTGCCCCGTGCTCGTCGCTGCAGCCAGCGTGGGGGCTTCAGCCGGGTCCCGTCACCGCTCCCCTCCCCCAGCCACGCCCGGCGCCGAACCCAGCCCCGTCGAGTCCATCTTCCTCCGGCGCCAGCAGCCGCCTCCTGAAACAAGTAATCAAGAATAGGCCGTGCTGCCTGGTAACAGCCTATCCTGGATTACTTGAACCGGGCTACGGCCTCCGCAGATCCTCCGCGGCCCCAGGGAATGGGCCTCCTCGCACACAGGACAGGACGGGCCCCGCTCCTGGAACAGATCCTGGTCACAGCGCCACCCACCCCATCAGAGGGACTCGCTTACCTGGTGCAAGGTCCCCTCTATCTCCACAGGCACTATGAAGTCAGCATTGTTGATTGGCTGAGGGGGGAAAAGGGATCTGTTAGCACAAGAGCAGAGGGGGTTCCCCATTGCGGCAGCCCCAGCTCCCCAGGGGCAACAGGAAACCAGACTGAGAGCACGCATGCCGGGGTGTCTCCGCACGCATCTGGCTCTGCTCTGGGGGAGATGGCGTCGGAGAATTTTGCTTTGGCGGGGGAGGAGCCTCCAGGACCTGCTCCAACCCCCAGCTGCTCTGCTGTCCAGCCAACGGGGCGCAGCAGATCCCAACCTCCACAGCTGCCCCAGCCCCTCCAAGAACATCTCATGCCTCATTTCCAGCCCCCGGCGCGTCACCCGTTTATCGGGCATTCACGGGATCTGGGATTAAGTATTCTCCGTGGCTAGCAGTGGCTCAGAACCCAGCTCCTGAGAGCCAGACCCGCCTGCTCCTGCCCCCGCACCGTCTCTTCCCACCAGCCGCCTCCCTGCGCCACCCCTCCACCCTGCCCCCTGAGCAAGCACGTGGGGTCACCTTAAAGGAGCTGTGCACCAACGTCTCATCCAGGTCGATCACCACGCAGATCCTGCCCTGGTCCCGCTGAGTCACCTCGGGGAGCAGGCACGTCCCGGGAATCTGCAAGCAGATACACGCCCAGCTGTCAGAGGGATTCGGGGAGCAGCCCTGGCCCACATGCAGTTCACAGGTTGAGTTGCCCCTCCCCAAAGCGAGACCCCTCCATGGAGATCAGGGCCAGTGGAACTAACCAGCAGACCCCCCCCCCGCCCCACACCCCTTGGAGAAGGCTCCTCGTCTCCAGCAGCTCCCCCATCTCACACCGAGTTGGGGTGTCCATCCATGTCCTCACACTGGAGAGAATTCCACTGCGGACCAGCAGGGAGACTCTAAACATCCCATCCAGATATCTGGGCGATACCCTCCCCATGACCCGGAGCACCCTACAGAATTACCAGCCTCCTTCCCATCTGGACCATCCTGAATTCCCACTGGGAGCGCCCAGGGACTGGGGAGAGACCTCATGCCAAAACTGCACGGACCCTGGCACATAAGAACAGCCAGACTGGGTCTGACCAATGACCCATCTAGCCCAAGATCCTGTCTTCCGACAGTGGCCGGTACCAGATGCTTCAGAGGGAGTGAACAGAACAGGGCAATTATCAAGTGATCCGTCCCCTGTCGTCCAGTCCCAGCGTCTGGCAGTCAGAGGCTAGGGACACCCAGTGCATGGGGTTGTGTCCCTGGCCATCTTGGCTAATAGCCACTGATGGACCTCTCCTCCAGGAACTTATCTCGTTCTCTTTTGAATTATGCTTCTGGCCTTCACGACACCCTCTGGCAATGAGATGGTGGCGCTAAGAGATGGCGGCCTTTACCTTTTCTCCAGTGGAGGAGCGGTCCCCATCCCACAATGCTCAGGGACGAGTGGGGAACTTTGAAGCGAGGGGGAGTAAGGGAATGTTACAGTCTTAAGCTTCTCCACCTTCCCTGGGAAGGCAGCTCACTTTGGGCTGGAGCCAACACCCAAGCAAAATCCACAGGACTCCCAGGGATACTGTGGGGTTTGGATCAGGGCCTGTTTCTGCAGGAGAGGAAGGGGCATTTGCTTGGGAGATCGGAGCTGGGAATCTCAGCCACCCACACAAATACCCACACAAATACCTGGTAGAACTGGTACTGAAGACACTGCAGCAGATCGGACTAAAGCGGGAAAGAAGAGGAGAAACACAGGTATTAGAGTGACAGCCGGCAGCAGCAGAGAGACAGCGTGGCCCTGACGGGGCTGCGGGACTAACCCGCCCCTTAGCCCTAGCCATCCGGGGACAGGACAGAACTCCCCTGCGATCTGCTGCCATGTGCTTGCAGCAATTCTCATCTGAGAGAAATCAGTTAAGAAATAATCAAAGGCTAATGAATAGCAGCACAAGCACTGGGTCAGCCGGAGAACATGAGAATTAAGACAGATCAAGCAGGGAAGGACTCAGAGACGAAACTGCTGCAGGCATCTCTCTCTCTCTCTCTCTCTCACACACACACTCTTATGGAGAAGGGGCCCAGTGCTGCCACCTGGTGGAACATTCCCATCACGCAGGTGGGGGTACCTGCACACACACCTGCTCTATGAGTTTTGGGGGAGATGGCTGCAACTTTAGGGGGCTGTGCTTGGATGAGGGTTCCTTCCATTCACGTCTGCGGCAAGGCTACAGAATGGCTTTTTGGTTTACCGTGATCAATGACAAACAAGCTTCGTTCTTAAGACTCGGGCATGTCCTATGTGGGGTCAAACACACTGGTGTCTAGAGGGTCGGTAGCCCAGCTCCAGGTCCCCCCTGCCCTGCAGCCCCCTTACCTTAGCGATGGTGCTGGGTTCCTCCTTGTGCAGTGCATGCTCCCCACCGCAGCCTGACTGACCGACATTCTGTGTGCGGAGGCAACAGAAAAGCGCCTTGAATATGTTCCGGCCACGAGGTTTCTTGGGAGAAGACTTGGACACCAACCCTGGAGCACGGGGAGAGAACCACAGCCAAGCGTAAGCAGGATGGTCGCCCGCACAAAGCCAGCTCCCCACGCGGGATACAGACCCAACCTCTCGGTATTGCAGGGGCTGGCGGGAGAGGTCCAGTCCACTGCAACGTGTCTGGGAGACTAGCTCACCACAAGGGTTGCAATCAATGAGGAATATGGGCCCAACAGGGCAGGACCGGGGGGGGGGGGTGAGGAGGGGACGAGTGAACCCCTGAAAAACGAACCATAGCAGAAATCCAAGCAAAGGACTGTGGGTAAAATTCCTTGAAGGATGGAGTGGATTCAGCCCAACGGTCCTCACTCATCCACGTGCTAACCCACCACCACATGTCCCTCCCCACTGCCCCATCCCACCCAACGGGCCGTTGAAGGCTGCGACCCTCCCAACCCCAAACTGGGAGGGACCCAGGGCTGCAATGTTGAGTAGCAGCCAGAAGGTGGCGCTGCAGACCCACAAGTCCCCAGCACCTTTGAAGTACAGCCATGTCCGGGAGCTGCTGGAGGACCAGAAGTGGGAGGGGGAGCCCCCAGGAGGAGGGGGAGCTGGCAGGCTGGTGCAAGGGGTGAGATAAACAGCCCCTGGCTCAGAGCCAATGGTGGGGAAACAACCTGGGGGCACATGTCACAGCCCCCTAGCGTGATCATTAGCCAAGTGACAGTCACTGAGTCTGGATGGAAGGTGAGCTGGGGACAACACATGCTAAATTCAGCCATTCTTGGGCACCAGGCGGTAAAAAACTCTGCAAGGTTTTCCCCCCCAAGAAAACCAGGCAGCTGTTCACAGGGCAGAGATGCCAGCCTGGGCTCTGAGCCGCTGGGCTGGGGAGGGACCGCAGCATCTCCGGGACCATTGTGCAACTGAGACCCCCAATCCCTCCCTCCCAAAGAGTCCGAAAACGAAAGGCCTGATCTCCTCGCTAACGCTGGTGTAAAACGGGAGCAACTCCGTGGGAGTCAGAGCGGTCAGACCAGCAGGAGCGGCAAAGCAGGGCTGGAGCCTGCAGTCGGCGGCCGCACTCCGGAGCAGCTCCGAGCCTCGCTCTGGAAACTGCATCCTTCCATCAGCACAATCCCGGTGCCATAACTCCACTGCCCCAGGGTGCCAGGGGGCCCCTCCCTCGCACTCTCTGGCTCCACCCCCTCCACTGTCATTCTGCACCCCAGGTTTTGCTCCCCTCCAGTCCCAGCATATCATCTTGGGTTTTAGAGTCAGTTGAGAAGAATTCCCATCACCTTCCGTGCCACCTGAGTCACCAGCACCTCTAGGCAACAGGTGCCAAGGCCCACCAGCATCTAAGCACAAATGGGCACCTGGGCATGGTAGGGCTGACTGGCCAACTCCATGCACCGTGCACCACAACTCTCCCAACTCCCCCCCACACTGGTCTCTCGAAGACAGGCTTCCCCCCGTAGGCCAAATGTTGCACCATGCTCCACGGAGGTGACGTGGGGCTTATCTGCTCTTGGGACCCAAGCCGGGATTTGCACCCAGGGCTCCAGAAGTGCCTGGTATCCTTCAAGGGTGCTGAGCACACGCAGCCCTTTGAGTAAATGTCTCAACAGAGATTCGCCCCTTCCTTATCTGTGCCCCACCCCCCTGGGATCTCCCTGGGCCCATGCAGCACAGGCAGACACAGCCCATGGGCCGGAGGAGCAGGCAGAGAGGCTGGCGAGTTGTAGTGACGCCCACGTGAAGAGACTTCACACCAGCGCCACTGTGCAGCCAGCCTGATCCGGGAAAACAGCATGGCCACTGCAAGGCACAGGGGGGCTGAGGGCTAAGGATTCACCCACCATGAACTCCGCCACCGACTCATTGTGTAGCCTTGTGCAAGTCCCTTCACCTCTCCTGCAACTAGTACCTTCTTCTGGGGGCTGAAAGTGCCTCATGCATCTGCATGCTCACAGCACGCACCCGGGGGTGTCTCGCCTGGCAGGCTTCATCCCCGTCCCATCCTGGAGAGATCTGAGCCGAGTGTCCCCAGGATTGTAACTGGGGAGAGGAACCTGGGGCCAGCAGCGATCCCAACCCATCTGTGGGATGGGTAATCTGTGTCTAGAGCTCCCTGCACCAGCTCCCGGCAGCGAGAAAGATCAGGCTGCGTCCCTGTCCTTCTCCATTTCCTCTTTCCCTGGCGCCGTGCTCTGGCGGACGAGGTTAAACGGCGTTAATCACCCCAGCCGCATTCGGCGATGGCTTCCCTCCCGCGAGCCCTGGCCCCAGACCAAGAGAGCCGTTCTCAGGGTCAGGGTGCAGAAGTTATAGGACAGCACAGAGGGGGAAGCCGGGCAGGAGACTGGCTGGCTCCAGAGAGTCTGAAAAAACTTTGCCTTACGGATCACGGGCCAATGGTCTCCTCACACCAACCACCTCCCATTTACAGAGACAAATGCAGGGTTCGCTCCCAATCGTGACAAGAACCATTGACCAATGGACGTGCCAGCTAGAAGCAGGGCCGGAGCCCGGCCGGCTCAGGGCTGGGATCGGTTAATGATAAACCTGATGTTTGCTTTGCTGACAATCCAAAGGGACAAACTCTGTGGGGTGCTGGGAGAGCACTGAGGGAGGTACCAGGCCTGGAGGCAGCAGGAGGCACACGGGGTGGAAAGTGACAGGCGCTCTGCCCTTTACAGGGTAGCCTTCAAGGGTGGAACAAAACAGCCTCCCCCCCACGTACACAAACACACGCACACACACCCCCACGCACACACCCAGCACCTTTCCCGGGCTAAGATTAATTTCTAACCCTTGCTGCATTTCCTTGTTCCTCCCTGGTCAGAGAATCTCTTCACAAGCAGATCTTAAATTTCCTTTTTAAAACCTCCATTTGGGGCCGAAACTCTTTCCCCGTCTCCTTCGCAATGCTGAGCTAAGCACCGGGAGGGAGGAAGCACCTTTCACTCCTCCACCAGCTGCAGAAGCTCAACAGCATAGCTCAGTGGTTTGAGCGTTGGCCTACTACACCCAGGGTTGTGAGTTCAATCCTTGAGGGGGCCATTCAGGGATCTAGGGCAAAAATCTGTCAGGGACAGTACTTGGTCCTGCTGGTGAAGGCAGCGGACTAGACTCGATGACCTTTCAAGGTCCCTTCCAGCTCTATGAGATAGGACCGGCAACCAAGAACCCCCAGGCCACGGTCAAACTCGAGTCTCCAGATCCGATGCTCCCAACCCCATCACTGCATTATCTGCTCTTCGGGGCTTCTCCAAACCCCAAAGTGCCAGGAACGTGCCCCTAGGGGAACGAACATGGAGAACACCCCCACCGAAGAAGAGATAGGAACAGAGGATTTGCCATCACAGGAGCCTGTGGGCCCAATGTGCCCAGCTCCAGCAGCAGTTGCTATGAAATGCTATTGAATACTCCATGCTGAACGTCAGGGCACCGTAAATTGCCCCCCTCAATCCGGAAGTCTGATCACCTCTAAAACAAATCAGTTGCAAACAAAAAGTAGCCACGAGCCATGGAAATGGAGGAGAAGGCACGTCTACACATGAACGTTAATCCAGACTAAGGTAGGGTGTGAATATAAAGCCGTTTAACTATTCCCGATTACCTCCACATGCGGGTGCTGCTCTTATTCTGGAGTACAACAGGAATAGCTTCTGGAATAACTCGCCGTGTAGACAAGCCTGAAAAATCTCTTTAAAATACGGACTTCAGTGTCCCGTGCCCAGTTGGCTTCACTCTCTCACTCCTGGTGACATTTCAGACCACACTGGAACCCAATCAGTTATTTCCCTTCTCCCGCAATTAGCGCCCGACCCATAGATCCACTCCCACCTGGGGGGAACCTTTCCAGGTTGTGGGTTTCTATTTTCATGTTGGGCCCGGGGAAGGAGGCGACTTGGCTGATACAGACTAGACAATGAGCAGTTCAAGAAGCCTTCTCCACCCTCCAAGTTTTATGCTCATCTTGACCCCTCACCTAACCCCACCTGGCTCCCTCTCTGAATTTGCATCTCCAGCTGATGCACCAGGAAACAAGCAGGACAATTGTAGTCAATGAGTCAGCAAGGAGGCTCAAGCCGGGCTTTGTTAGCTGATGATAAAGACAGTTTGTGCAAAGCAGGGAGGGGATCCTAAACTTTATTACCTCACTTAGCCTTCCAAATTGCCCCTGTTCTCACAGGGCCAGCCACCAGGCTCCAGCAGCCCATCCGCTTTGGGAGGTTTCACTCCATGCGAGCAGCATCTCTAGCCCCGCCATCTGCGGTGGTGGCAGACCCTGGCGACGGAGAATCTGGGGCAGCCCAGGTTGGAAGCTAGCTGCAGCAATACTGTGGCACCTGCCTGCAGAACCAACCCTCCCAGCAATTGAGATGGGCCTACAGCCTTGTCCTCTCCAACGGCTTTGCCTGGTCCTTGCAGCCGGGTTGGTGGCCGAGGAAGAGGCATGGCTCGTGCTGCCCAGAGCCCCAGAAGCAACTGCCTGGAGGGTAGGCTGGGGCTACCGAGTCAGACGATGACCCAGCTGCATTGCCTATGGCAGTATGAGGAAGGATTCAAGTTGCCAGCCATGAGGAAGACAGAAGCAGGTGGTCGAGGCATCTGGATACCAGCAAGACTCCATGATGGAAGCACTTGTGGGCTTTGATTCGCTCTCAATGATTCTCCTGCCCAGCCCAGAGAGAGACAGCCCCAAGTCACCGCCCCATGGGATTCTTACACCCCCCCACACACTTCCCCCAACGCGGCTCACACGTGCGTTCCAGGAACAGCAGGCAAGTTGGGATCAGCTTCATGCTGGGTGAGGGGTCGGGCCGCCGGGGTAGTATCGAGAGAAGTGTTTTTGCAGGGAGCCCTAACTTGGGAATGCTCCAAACCATCCCAAAGCACGTCAGAAGGTTCCTAGGCTAGAAGGGACCACTGGGATCATCTAGTCTGCTCTCCCACGTAACACCCCTGAATTCCCTCGCGTTTGCCAGCAATGGAGAATTCACCACAACCCCTGGTAAAATTCTTCCAACGGTTAATTCCCTTCACTGCTAAACAGGTGCCTAATTTCCCCTCTGAATTTGTCTAGCTTTAACTTCCAGCCATTGGATTCTGTTAGACTTTTGTCTGCCAGATCAAAGAGCCCAGCAAATTTTTATTCCCCACGTAGGTACTTGCAGACTGTGATCAAGCCATCCCTTAACCCTCTCTTTGTTAAGATAAATAGATTGAGCGCCTGATGCTGCGAAGAGGAGAGAGCGAGTTCCTCGCTGATCTGACCTCGCTGTTGCTAATCCAACACCTTTGTCACGTGCTTATTTGTCTAGGGGGATATTAGTGGCTTGAGATCACATGTGTGTGTTTTAAAGGCGGAGAGAGATGGGGAACGGGTTCCTTAGGGCCAACTCCCAACCCCTGGCATAACAGGGTCAGGGACATAGCTATCATCTGGCTCCCCAATGGAGACTCCAGAGCATTTCCGGCATCACCAGGTCCTTTATGGGCCAAACCACACTCATTGGAAAAGACTGTATTTCCTACTGTATATGCCGAGGCGCACCAACGTTTGGGGACGTGGTGGCGAAGGTCAATGCATGAGTCAGCCAGCAGCTCTCAAAATAGCCAAGACTGAAGTCGGTTCTAGTAACCCAGTGTCCAACGCAGCTCTTGAGAGAAGGAGACAAGTGAGAAGGAGGCAGAGACAAAGGTACAGGGGGCCGTGGTATATATGGTATCCAACCACTTCTCCTGAGCTGGGTACCACGGTCACAGGCCCAACATCCTGCAGGGAGCTGGGATGGCTGCTCTCCAAGACAGGCTCCTGGTCGCGATGGACGCCTGGTCTCATAAAGGGAGGCAAATCTATGTGCCAAGGGAGCCAGGGTCATGAACAGGGAGAGGGGTAGTGAGCTGGAGAGGTTCGCGGGATACCAAGTACCATCTGTGAGAAGAAGCCAAAGTCAGCGGAGAGCTTTTCCTTGGCCACAGCATGGATCCCTCCGATTTTTTCTATGCTCCAATAAACACCTTTCCCCAAACCGCTCCAGGGCTCATAGCAGCACCAGTTCCAGCTCCTCGTAGGCTCCCAGCACAGGGCAAGAACGGATCTGGCTTGAAGTTCTCCTCATTGTTTTCCAGGTGACTGTTGCTGGGCAGGTCCTGGAGCGCGCTGCAGTAGCGGCAGCCCCAGGACCGGGGAGGCTGGTCTCTGCAGCCCATGGAACAGACCAGGTGATGTTTCAGTCTGCCAGCATGAAATCCCATCTGGCAGGACACCTGGGAGCTGGAGGGCAAGACACAGCGGCAACTGGTCACAGCAGAGGCTCTTGTCCAGAGAGCACTGGATGCAAATTGCAGCAACAGTGGTTTGGGGGAAGAGATTAAGAAGGTTTTGCACTTGGAGCTGGAAAAAGATATTGGACAAGTCACTGCAGTGAGAATACAATCCTGGGATTTCTAGAGCACCCATCACCGTAGTATCTGGGCTGTCGTACTGCGGCCTTCATCATTTGTCCACCTTTCCGGATCTTCTGTCTCCACAATGGCAGTTCCAGACGGATGCTGCAGGCAGTGGGGTCTCGCCACCTCCCTTCCAGAGCCACACTGTTCGGGGACCCATCACGCAGAGTGCAGTGTGGGGGTGGGTCTTCCAATCCAAGGCAGCTGCTCCCTTGATTTCCAAGCCTAAGTGCCGAAGGTTAATGAGAGGCAAGCATCCCAGGCTAAGGTAAGGTCTGACTGCGGGGAGGGCCAGGCCCAGCCATTGCAGGGAGAGCAGAGGGGCGCATCTTGCTGGTGACTGAACTCACCTCAGGAACCAAAGTGCCACCACTCTGTACCCTGGGGGTGGGGGCTTTAGTGTAGTACCCCCACCCCGACTGTCCCTGTGAAGAGTCACTCACCTTCCTATGGCAGCCCCTAGAGAGCCTATTTCTTGGTGCAACAGGACAGTGATTTACTTCCTAGGAGGCGCACAAGGGCCCCCGCCTTTCTGTCACTCCCGCATATATCCTCCCCCGCTCCCCACCCCATGCCCACACTTTGCTTTGCCAGACCCCTCCCCTCCAGTGCACTTCAGTCCCCGCCCACCGCCCTTTCCTCTCACCCTGCCCTCCTGATTCCCTGTTCTGTCTAGGCACTAATGCAGCCATCACACTGCACCTGTCCCCTCGTCCCATACTTGGACTCTCCCCAGGTGGTTACGTCTCCTCTGGGTTTCTAGTTGCCCTGGGGAAGGGGGAAATCTCAAAGACCCTCAGCCCCAGGGGAAGCCACCCAGAGGAGCCCAATAAACGCCACCCACCAATTTCCAGTCTGTTCGGACTGAAGCTCGAACGACAACAGAGGGGAAACGGACGGGTTATCGGCCCGTCCCAGCGAGCCCAGGCTTCCCTCCCCAGCCCGTCCCCGTAAGGAAGGGGAGGTGACCCCCCATTTGCACCTTGCAGCTGGAGGCAAGCTCAACTTCAGCCCACAATGCTGAGGGGCTGAGCCCCCACATCCTCCCTGGCCCAGGCACCCCCCAGCGAGCTCCAGGCACCAAAGCTGCCAGTTAATACATTCGCTGCCGATGCACGGAGCAGTTACTCAGTGTCAAAAATACACCGAGTGCATCCTCAGCACGTCTCAGTGGCCTGGCCCGGGGCCCCGTGGAGGGACGAGTTTACAGGGTCAGGAAGCGATTGGGATGGTCTCTCTTTGGGGGGCCAGGGAGAAACTAGGA